ACAATAACAAATTTAAAGGCAATAATTGTGAAATGTATTAAACTACAAAATATGTCTTCTTCCTAATTTAAAACATTGAAAATTTTACTTGAAAACAAAACTGTACATAATAAGAATAACTACAAGAGTTAACCTAACAAATGTAAAAAAGCTATATAAAAGTAATAAAAATAAAAATAATAAAAGGATGATACTTGTTCTTACCATAAGAAAATGTCAAAATTGTCAAAACAATAACATGTGCAAATATATGCATATTTTAAAATACTTCCCAAGATTAACATTATCACTTCTACATTTTATTTCTTTTTTCTACTATTACGAATGTTTACGGTTTTTTCGTATTTGTTTTTTAAATGCGAGGCCCTGACGTCAGATAAAAAAATTGAAGCGGAACAAGACATAAAACGAATGTTATCTACCCATGCGCCAAAAACAGTTAATACATTTTTAATTTTCAATGGATTTGCCCTAAATGAAAAGATGAACAAGTGCGTATTTAGCGTGGTAATTATGTGTTAATTAATGCGTGTTTCACAAACGAGTATGTAAGGATGTTTAACTTTGCAGGGGGTCTGAATTCTGCACGTAAAAGAGAAAAAGTCTGCACGGCTTATTCTGTTATAAAAAATATCTGTTTTTCTCATAGTTTTGGACGGATCTTGTAAAACAATTTTTTTCCCGTTTATAGCAAGTTAAAATTGCCATGCGTTTTATCAACTTTGCATTATATATTTTTTGCACAAATCTTACAATTTTAGTTTGGTTTTATGAAAAGAATCAGAGGAGCCATTGATCTGTTTACATTAAAACTCCGCCTGTTAACCTATATAAAGAACAGAATGTTTCTCATTTGTCTGTTTTTGGTTTTGAAAGGGGCACCATACTATGGCCCAAAAGCATAAAAAATATAAAAATCAACATTTTTACATAGTTAAACAGGATAAAATATGCGGAAATAATTAAAAAATATATATACTCTTTACTGCATCGATTTCTCTCTCTCTCTTTTGGGGGGGGGGGGAAGGGAAGGGTGTGCAATCTTAGCCAGTTTTTAGTAACGCTTAATTTTGCACAGTTGGAATAGTTTTTCTACAGAATCAAATTAAGCGAATGTTCTTAAATTTTGTACGCAAGTTTTTGGTCTAGACCTTCATCAAATATGTATAGGTATAATAATCTAGGAAAAATAGTTTAAATCCCGTCATGTCAAAAAACACAAGGTAGCCTCTTTTTTAATACCACTTTATTTCTATTGTCCTTGATTAAATTAAAAGTAATATGAAACATAACAGCATAACCTCTCCTCGTCCACATATTTCTATAAGTCGTACACTTTATTTCATCAAAATTCTGATTAAAATGCTATAATTATAAGTCAAGACCCATAATACAGTACGGTCTCCCGCTACATAATTTGTTTTGATTTTTTCTAAAGTTTATTCAACGTACACACTTCTTATGTTTACATAGGTAGAAATTATTCATACTATGGCCAGATAATGCGTCGATTTATCATGAAAAGAAATAAACTCCATCTTTTATCCGCTTCAACCATTCAAATATATTATATATATACAGTAAATTAATAAAGTTAAAACTTAGAAAATACGGCCATAGTTTGAAACATGAATGCACGATACACGTGTATATAATTTAGTCTTCATACCTGAATAAAGTCTGAATTGGAACAATTACAATGGAAATGTTGTGACAGCTCATTTGGATTATAAAACATTTAAAACCGATTGATAAAAACATTTTTCACAACTTTTTGTGCACTCTAAAACGGACACTTATCATCAATAAGAAGTCGGCCAAATCTGGGAAGACGTACTGGTATCTCGGGTCAAATATAATAAAAAGTTTCATTTGATTCAATTCATAGTAAATCATAGTACAAATTGTGGTAACTTCAATTGAGTATTTATGTACATTTTTATTCATCGCAATGTGATTAATAAAATGATAAAAAACTAATTTCATACAATTTATTAGAAATAAACTCATATTAAGCAAATGTCTAAAATGTTTAATTAGACCGGGACAGGCATCTAAGTACATGTACACGACACCACGTCTCAGAATGATGAACATTTGTTTCAAGTTATACTAAAACCCACCATAAATGTAAGACAAAATTTGAACATTTTCGGTCGAAGACTGTCTTGCATAATCATTCACTTCCGGTCGATGATTACCTTTGTACGCTAACACGGTTTTTGTATATTTATTGTTCAATAAATCTAAATCTTAAATCATTCGAGCTGTAAATAATTGGGGTTTTCACTCTTCGGGACAAACACTTTTGAATTTGCGGGGAGGAGGTTTTCAGTTTACTCTAACTTGCTCAAAATATTGCTAATGGACGTAATTCTTCTCGCTGTCGGATTGAAACTTGAGTTCATATCATAAGGTTATGTGTTTATCAAAAAAAGGTCACACGTTATAATAATATTGTTTTAATTTTGGCTATATACTCGTCTCTTGATGGACAATTAGGACAAGGAACAAAAATATTTGAACAATTACAGGGAAGTAACTCTTATAAGTGACTGGCTATTATACCCAGCGTACATAAACATAAATTATCTTGGTCTTGCTGGAATCGTCAGATTCGTCTCTTAAGTTTAACACTTTAATTTGCGATAAAATATAATAACATGTGTATAAAGCTGCTATGAATGTCACCCCAGTGTTGTATTTTTAGTTCTTCGAAATCATTGAATTCTAATTATTTCAACCTTGACGATTGAATCCTGCATAAGGCGGTGTCATGGAGCGTGACATATGTTGCACGTTTTATAATCACTCATAATCAGGCTTAATTCATCCCAGTTTGCCATTTTCATCTTTTTTCCTCGGTGGGCCCACCTTTTCCAGAATTGTTATACTATGTAATTTCCAATGACACGTGATCTATATCTTCGTTCCGACAAATATGATATACTTTATATAAAAATTCTTGTTTAAGTACTACTGTCTTTACTATGATAACTATAAATAATTGTATGTAACGCTCAAGCCGGTGCTAGTGGGCGTGACGGATGTTGCACGTTTTGCATTATCCCTCATTTACAAACGCAATCAAACCGAATTTGAAATTTACATGTAATTTGGATTTGATCAATACTTCCGTGGGTCGCTCTTTCTCCAGATTTCCATATAAGAAGGTAATGAACATTAACACTGATTTAGTATTAATTTGATGCTATACAGTCAAATTATAGATTGGCATAGTGTCGTTGAAAAGCGTTGTTTTAATTTGTGTGTAAATCTTTGTACGAGACCACTATGAGAAATTAGTAAAAGAATCGTATAAAATATATATAATCTTTATTTGATTCTCATCCATACATATAACATAATAAAACATTCTATTCAAAATTATAATCGTATAAAATATAACACCTGTGTTAACACAGTACTCGTAAATGTTGAAGAACATATTTACAAAATAGTTAAAAAACGTTGTACTGAATCATCTGCTATATACTACAATAAAACACTGGAAAGCATGAAATAAAATCGTATTAAATATAACACCTGTGTTAACACAGTACTCGTTTATGTTGAAGAACGTATGTACAAAATAGTTAAAAAACGATGTACTGTATCTTATGTTATGTATACAACACAGACCTCCCTCTCTTCTATGTTTATGTGATTGACAAGTGAATAAGGGACACAAGAAATGCGTGCAAACCAGGCATTCTTTTGACTCCATTTGATAAAAAAAAATCATTCTATTTCATTATCTCTCATGAACAGACTCAATCAAACCAAGTTTGCAATTTTCAAATTATATTGCTTTTTCAGTGCTTCTTAGGGATCACCCCTTTTCCCGATTTTCAGAACCTTTGATCCCCTTTCAAAATTCGTTTAATTTAGTTTCACCTATTGTTTACTCGTTTAGCTTTTACTTGCGGACCATACATCGCTTTTCATGAAACGGCACAAGCATGTCACATTGAAGTTTCAATGATGTATCTAAATTCAAATTTTCATTATTTCATGCAATCTGTTGAATTCTGCTTTATTCGATGCTAGGGGGCCCGGACGGACGTATGCATTTGCCAATATCGTCCACGAACAGGCTCAATCAAACCGAACCTGCAACATTTAAAATTTGGGCGTTTTGGAGGTTCTTAATCCGATGCTCTTTTAAGCCATAGCTTACAATTAATGAAAACAAAACCTTGACTACATCCAAAATATATCACCATAGCTTAACACCATTTTTATGTGCACGAGTCGAACGTAAAACTTTGTACCGTAAATACATGTACGTATATCAAATGATATTATTTGATTTTTTAAGTCTTTTTTTTTAAACAAGTGGTATCAATAGAATGAGAACACATATCATGAGCAAATAAGACAGCTAATAATGCTTTTTCCGACATAATCCAGCTTTATTCGACCCCTAACGGTACCGAACAGAAACAATAGTGGCCATAAAGGGCGGGGCATGGTGAGGGAATGTTCGTTCTTTATTACAAACACATCCCACAAAGAGTTCAGACCGGATACTATAGTTATGGCTCAATGAAAATACACAGCATTCTAACAAGCTTCTATAACAATGCACTCAAATTTGATAACTAAATCTAAAATAACAACAACAACATCAGCAACTACAATATAATAATATAATTGTATATAATAGCTAAAATGTGTTTTCATGGCACATGAACCGTTTATTGTAAATTATCAAATTGTAAACGTAAGTGTTGACTAGAAAATAATGTTTTTCCTGCTTTATCATATGAGTCATTTATATAAATTGTCAAATGTACAAAATAACGTTTTCTGAATGCCATACGAATTATTTTCGTAAATTCAAGTAGTGAAATATCTGCTCACTATAGGCATATTACATCTGATAGCATTTCAAAATGTCTATTTTTTTATATATCGTATATGATGAAAGCATCCACCGATTGTCATCCTAACAAGTAATTGGTATCATTTTGTTATTACCGTTATATTATCATCATTATATATCGTCAATGCAGCCACATATATTTTTGACATTAGACAGAAACTATAACGAGCAAAACATTTATTTTCCGACCTTATACGGTGTGAGACGGTAAACGCTATATCATATAGCTTAAACAAGCAGTGTTTTGACGTTTTCAAAATGGGATTTCAATGTACGGGAATTAATATTTATTATATATTTATAAATTGATTATTGAGAAATACTGATGGAATAAAATGCGTATTTTCATTTTGCGTATTTTTACTGTTGAAAAATATTTTTCACTGCAGTGAAATAGATAATCCGAATTTTCACTGGTGTTTTGCTAGACAAAGTATTTCTTCTAAATATCCTCTATTTATTTTCAACTTTTTAATGTAAATTGTAAAACACGTATTTCTGTATGTGTGCTTGAAGTACATTGAACTTATATTTAAATTCGAATTAAAATATATTGTCATTAACAATACAACCTAACTTTCAGAATATCACAATGTCTATAAGTGATTTTCTTAAGTATCATATCAAATGAAGAACATATTGGAAATTAAAAATTTAAATTCGAGATATAAATATATTTTTATAACTGTAGTGAGATTATATTATGCCAGATATTTTAAGGTTTATATAACAGTATATTGACATAAAGTTAAGTCAATACATTTATTTTGGTTGGGTTTTACTTAGCAGCAACGAACTAGAGATCATATAGCGAGCTTTACTAGTAGAGGAAGACCTCAGGTGCCCGTCCGTGCGTTAATTATCAACCGATGTTCCGTAATCTAGCTGGATAGATTCCATACATAGAAAGAATCCAAAGTACCTGGGAAATGAACTAGACTAATAATATCTGTCATATTTTGCGGTTCGGATCGGAATATCTGTCCCGAGGTGACCCGCCCATTGGGCGGTAACGAGGCTTGCCGAGTTACCGCCCATGGGCGGGTGACCGAGGGACGGATATTCCGATCCGAACAGCAAACATATGTCAGATGTTTTTTCTTGCATATTCTACCATATTCCATTATATTTTAAATTCTTTATCTTTATTTCCAATGAAAATTTATATCATTACAACCGTAACTACTTTCATTCAACAGCGTATGAATTACAAAATCATTCATAACGGTAAAATGACGTCATCTTTATCGTGCCATTGTACAGCACGCGACTCATCTGGAACCCCCCTTGCCAGATGAAATTTCCGGCATGGGTAAAACTAGCAGAAACGCCAGTCTGATATGCAAGAAAAAAATATAACTTTATTGTGATTTAAGAGGAAGACAATTTAAGCTGATCCAAAATATTCAATATAATTATACATAAGCAAAATATACTAAGATTTTTTTAAAGGAAAAAAAGGTAATCATTTACAAGATTTGAGCGATTTATGACTGATTTTATTTTATTTATCACCATATTGTTTCTTCATGACTAACACAGCTTTTTTGTCATATTTTGTAATTATATTTATAGTAAGTGTAAATAACTCACAGTGCACTTAAAAAATACATTTTCATTTTTTTTCATGAAAATTAGCATAAATCTGGAGTGACGCTGCTTAAATGAAAGCGATTTTGAAAGGCAAAGAAGTCGTTCTACTAAATTCTTATCATTAGTGGTTATTTCTGCACTTGAAAATAATTGTATCTTCATAAATTATTTCCTTCTCAATTAATAAGAACTTTTCATACGTCATAATTTAAAACTCTCCGTCCGCCAGTCATTACCGACGGGTGGAATAACTCGTAATATGATAAACTGTCAAACCCTATATACTTTGAATCTTTTGATAAACAGAACATTTACAATTACCAATTATTACCACCCCTGGCTGCTATTTTGGGATCATTCATAATATATCATATGCTAACTAGAACTATCACTAAATGTGATAAATACCTCGCAAATGAGGAAGTTACTAGTAACAGAATACCTTACAAAGAATTGAAATAGAGTTATGGTTGTGGGCAATTAAAGATAGTTGTGGTTCTTGTATGTTGCATTTCTTTATAATGTGGTTGACCATAGATGACGTTTTATTGAATTACCTGCAATAAGGTTAGAAAGAGATACGCTTCTTGAGCACTGCACTTAATCCCATTGCGCTTGACCATTGTATGAAGTTGCATTAAATTCTAAACATTAGTTTTTAAGCTATGCACCGGACAAGGAAAAGGAACAAAGGGCAATAACTCTACAAATACTGAAGATGGAGTTATGGTTATTGTACACTGCACTTCCTCTCATTGCAATGGGCCATTATAATAAGTTGTATTTAATTCCAACAACTAGTTTTCAAGTTATGCACTGGATAAAAAAGTAACAAAGGGCAATAACTGTAATTTGTCAAAATACAGTTATGGTTCTTGTGCACTGCACTTCATCTCACTGCCCTTGACCATTGTATGAAGTTTCATTGAATTCCAACCATCAATTTTCAAGTTATGCACTGTACAATGAAAAGTAACAAAGGGCAAAAACTCTAAAATGAGTCAAGAAAGAGTTATGGTTTCTGTGCACTGCGTTTCCTCTCAATATACTTGACCATTGTATGAAATTGTTTTGAATTCCAACTAGTCGTTTTCAAGTTATGCTCTGGACAAGAAAAAAGCAATAGAATAGTTACAAAGGGCAATAACTCTATAATTACTCTGGACAGAGTTATGGTTCTTGTGCACTGCACTTTCTCTTATTGTGCTTGGCCATTGTATGAAGTTGTTTTGAATTCCAACCAGTACTCTTCAAGTGATGCTCCGGACAAGGAAAAGTAACAAAGGGCAATGACTTTGTAATTAGTCGAGATAGAGCTATGGTTCTTGTACACTGCACTTTCTCGTAATGTGCTTGATGATTGTATGAAGTTGTATTGAATTCCAACCAGTAGTTTTCAAGTTATGCTCCAGACAAGGGAAAGTAACAAGGGCAATAACTCTGTAATTAGTCAAGATGGAGTTATGATTATTGTGCACTGCACTTCCTCTCAAAGTGCTTGATCATTGTATGCAGTTGTATTGAATTCCAACCATTAGTCTTCAAGTTATGCTCCGGACAAAAAAATGGAAAAGTAACAAAGAGCAATAACTCTGTAATTACTTTAGATAGAGTTATGGTTCTTGTGCACTGCACTTCCTCTTATTGTGCTTGACCATTTGTATGAAGTTGTTTTGAATTCCAACCAGTAGTTTCCAAGTTATGATCCGGACAAGGAAAAGTAATAAAGGGCAATAACTCTGTAATTAGTCAAGATGGAGTTATGGTTCTTATGCACTGCACTTCCTATCAATGTGCTTGACCATTGTATGAAATGATATGGAATTCCAACCATTAGTCTTCAAATTATGGTCCGGACAAAAGAAAGCTATGAAAAAGTAACAAAGGGCAATAACTCTGTAATTACTTTAGATACAGTTATAGTTCTTGTGAAATGCACTTCCCCTTATTGTGCTTGACTAATGTATGAAGTTGTTTTGAATTCCAACCAGTAGTTTTCAAGTTTTACTCCGGACAAGGAAAAGTAACAAAGGGCAATAACTCTGTTATTAGTCAAGATAGAGTTATGGTTCTTGTGCACTGCACTTCCTCTCAATGTGCTTGATCATTGTATGAAGTTGTATTGAATTCCAATCATTAGTCTTCAAGTTATGCTCCGGACAAGGAAAATGCAACAGACCGCTTGACCGACCGACCACCGAGTGACTCCTATATACCTCCCAAACTTCGTTTCGGGTGAATAAAGACCGGGACTTAAGACCCTTAATGTTAACTGTTGTGTAAGTTGTAATTCGTTTTGAGTTTTCTTTTAATGATCAAATAGTTTATATATACTGTTTCAATTGCAGACGAAGTTTTGTTGTTTCTTGTGCTGTTCTATATACAACTAATACATTGCATGCCGGGTGCATTTCCTGATGAACCTTTCAACTGTAACAGATATGGGGATTATTCTTCACACGACTATTCGTGTAGACCTGCCGACTTGTTTGATATGCTGGATGACGATAAACTAAGAGACGATGTTATCACTGGAGACGAATTTCTTCGTGAAGCAGGGGCACGTTGCAGGTAGTATCAATAAATAAAAATGATACCCTAACCACGGGGGTGGAACCCCATATGTATCTCCAAAATTTAGCATCGGTTAAAAGTATATGTGAATTTCTGCTGCTCCAGATGTGAAGCATAACACCAGATGTGACTGTGAAAGTAGGTCAATCGCAAGGTCAGTTTTCAACTTTTAAAACAGTTATATCAATTTCAATCCTTTTTTTTAAGAAAATCGAAATGTGATTCTACCCTCCTGGATCTCCCCTATATTTCCCATTTTTGTTTTGGATTTCTATGCAGTCTTCGTCGAGATATTGTTTCCGTCGTGGGTTCTGGTGTGTCCAAAACGTGCAATGTGTATGAAGAAAATGTTACGAAATCTCACTTCAGACCGATGCTTTACATTCAGACAAACCCTGATTTAAACATTTATTGAGATTTGGCTACATGGTTTATGACAACGAAGGAATTGCTGCTCAAAATTGCATTTGAGCTCCATATGTTTTGAGGAGATCCATATGTGCATAATATAAAAAAAACAGCAACATAATTACGGATCACTTTCATAAAGCAATCTATAAGTTATTCCTTTGTGAATCATCTATTATCCGAAATAGACACATTTTCACGAGACGAGCTTAAATAACATAGTATCCATATAGAAATTCCTTTTCAACGTATGTCTGAGTAAAACATGACCAAAAAGTTATTATTTCTTGCAGGAAATGCAATTCACAAGAAAGGCACCATTTTCATTTTAAATATTCATTTGTTTTTGCGTTATTTACGCGAACTAGAGTAGAATAATTCTTACGGGACAATTCTGATGAGGAGGTTTACTTGTATATCACTGCATGGTAAACCTGTAAGCAAATATTTTTGTCCGTGAGTGAACATCTATTAAATTCAGTTATCCCGTGGTGCGGTGATTTTTCTTTGATACTCCTCAACTGTTACACGCCAGTAGCATGCTCTTTTGACAATAACAGACAGTGGGATATCTCAGATAACGCACATTTCTTTAGAAAAAGTGTGCGTAATTTCAAATAAAGCACAGCTATGTAAGTACACTTGGTTGGTGTATAACTGTGACCGTAGAAAAAAACACAAGGGTCACTGGAGCGTACCAAAATTAAGGCTGCACCCCTCTCCCCGAAAAAACCCCCCAAAAAACAAAAGAAAGCACGAATATATTCAGATTGGGGATAGGTAATGTGTTAATGGGTTTAGTCTAGTGCATACTTACTTGTTTATAAACCTTTTAATCCGTTTTCCTAAATGTCATTTGCGCAAAGATGTACTGCCTCTAAGAATTTTTAATGAGTAGCATTACTTGCAATATTACCAATTTTAAGTCCCCCCCCCAAAAAAAAAAAAAAAAAATAAAAATAAAATCAATACTCGTTATTAATCGATTTATTCATATAAATTTAAAAATCTATCTTTTGGCATGTCATTAAAAATGTTGATGAAACAGTGGTTAGCGTATTACTGGCGCGTCCCAATTATTTACAGCAATGTTTTTCTGTGTCTTTGATCATCCAACCAATCAGGAACACCCAACATACTTCCGATTGGCGTTTATGGTGTAGGGTTTACAATGTCGGTCATTGACACGTTACATAAAAAGTGACCGAGGTTCCGAGTGGGGGATTTAAATTATAAAAGGGAAGCCAAATAGAAATTGAAATTTTATGTTTATTAAAATTCTTATTTCTGTTTATCATGCTATAAAGCATTTATAATATATCGAATTCGACTATTATGTAGAAACATCATGGCCTGGTGGCATACAGACAATGTTCTCGGCCCATATTCTGTAAAGAAAAACCTTCGATGTCGCAACAGGCCAAGATATTTCCACATAACAGTCTTGTCGCTATAACTAAAACTTGTGGAACCTTAAAGTGATAAATATTATTATAAATGTAAAACTATTATAGAAACATATTATTTGAGACGATAGTTTTACAAAGTTCAATACTTTCAGTTTGACTTGTAAAAGTTCCATATCCTTTATTAGTGAATTGTTTAGCATACGAGTACTATCCGCTCTGCGTCAACATTTTCATGTACTCGGACCTATTAGTATTTCTAATGCTAGCGTAAGCTAGTAAGCCCTGTCATTGTGACGATCAAACACACTTATGTTACTATTGAACTTTACATTGGCTATTTAATGATTATATGGAAGTGATCAGTAGTTTTGTAGATGGTTTTCTATATCACTTATGGATCTCTTTAGCACATATGGAGCTCAAATGTTTTTTTTTGAGCAGCAATTCCTTCGTTTGTACCCAAATCTCAATAAATGTTTAAATCAGGATTTGTCTGAATGTTAAGCATCGGTCTGTAGTGAGTTTTCGTAAAATCTCTGTTTTTTTATTCCGTTTAGTGACATTTTCCTCATACACATTGCACGTTTTGGACACACCAGAACCCACGACGGAAAGAATATCTCGATGAAGACTGCATAGAAATCCAAAACAAAAATGGGCAATATAGAGGAGAGTCAGGAGGGTAGAATCACATTTCGATTTTCTTAAAAAAAAAAAAGATTGGATTTTATTAAAAAGTTGAAAACTTACCAGGCGATTGACCTAATTTCACAGTCACATCTGGTGTTATGCTTCACATCTGGAGCAGCGGAAATTCACATGTATTTTTTACCGATGCTCATTTTTGAAGTACATATGGGGTTCCACCCCCGTGCTAACAACATTAACGGGGTGACGTTTTACAATTATACAAAACGATCATTGATTTTAGTAAATATAAATCTTTATGTTATTTTTCTATCGTCGGTAATTATCTTGTTGTGCGCAGTAACCGTTAAAACATTTCATTTTTCAAGCGAGCGCGACGTCTCAATGAATCATATTCATAACAGTATTATATGTCTATTTGTTCGCTTGTTTTACAAAAATCGCACACCATTTAGAAAGAAAACAACACTACAAGTATATAACTTTATCAGAAGATTTTTCAGATATTTAGATGTTATAAACACAAATTCTTTTTTTACAAACTGAACAGTTTTGGAATATCTTCAAACGTAGTTTTATTAATGCTATTATTGCTATATTGTTGTTTATCAAGTACTCAAAACTATTAGACACGTAGTTTCAAAGATCTAGCAAAGAATAATCATAATAATTTACAAGTTACACACTTACAGTAACGAGACACTTCTACCTTCCTACATCAACTGTATGGGGACATTGTCTGTGGAATGTCCCAAACAGTTTGCCGATGTGGCTGATTCGTTAAGAAACAAGATAAGCATGTTTTGTGACGGCAATGACGTCTCTGAATGGCTCCAGTTAGGTTTGCAATTACTGATCACTTTGTAGACTATAACTTACATTTTATAATTTCTCGTTATAGCGTCTCCTAATATAGCACACTATAGAACAGTTAAATGGTTCAATTTCCCCAATAAACTAGTATGTTAGATGAATGTATCATCCTTAAAATAGCCATACTTAAATTCAAGAAATATTTTCATATACATTTACATACATACGAAAATATACTGCGAATTGATAAAATTGTGTAGGAAACGGTTTATTATAACTCTGTTATATCTTCAACATGACTTTTACGCATGTGATTTTTAAAAAATATGTAGTATCACAAA